CGAAGATCGGAGATATATCTTTACGGATCTGAGAGAATGGATCTGTATCGTTTAAAATAATTTGGGAAATGTGTCTATCGATTTCCTCTGGGTTTTATTGTAGTTAGAGTATCAGCGATTAAGGATTGTGAAAATTTGAGCCATGTTTCGCAAGTTTTTATTGGGAGTTATTGGGAGTTACTGATGATGAAATACCAATGATCTTAGATTACGGAGGTTTTATTGGAAATTCGTAAAATTCTTATGTCATACATAGATAGACTTGCGCAGTATTTTCTCCTGTCGTTATTTCTTCTTACATGCAGATACTAGGATTTTATTAGAAAGTATGTATATGCTTAATGAAAAACTGTCGATATTTTGTAACCTTGTGAAAAAGAAATTGTGCAACAAATATCGTTGTAAAGAAGAGATTTCAATCCTCAAGACTACGATTGTTTTAATAATGAAAACAATTCGCCAGTGTCCATGAAAACATTCGGGTCTGCAGAAAGCTATTTTTACTCACACCATTTTAAAACGATGTGAAAATATCTCTGAAAGAAACGGACTCGATATTACAAAAGTAGAAGCTTCGCGCTTTGATCCGAATTTAGAAGCGTTTAAAATATCGGCAACTTTTCATCAAGCGTACGGATGCTGTATTTCCTTCTGAAATCACGAACGTATCATAAAAGACACACTTTTTACGTTCTCCAGTAACATTACATAACTTTCATTCGATGTGATGATCGAAATATCCTAAATAAAACCACCAACGAACGTGTATCAAACGATTGTTCCACGCTAACATCAAACATCTACTTCGAAGAAGATTCATTTACCCTCGCAGATGAGATCTCCCTCGCTCTCGGTTGAATCGTTTTCCATTTAATGCGAATCGCATTAAAATTTCTACTCGGTGCACTCTGCCCCGTTCAAATACCTCTCGGCGTGAACGCGAAACGGAGAGGCAATTAAAAGAAACGCGGCCGAAAAAAATACTTCTTCCTTTCTCTCTCCCCATTTCCATTTTCTTTTTCTTCCTGTCCAAAAAAAAAAAACAAAAAAAAAAAAAAAAGAAAAAGACGCCCCCTCGGTATTAATCTGAGGAGTTTTGTTCCGGGAATGTCGCGCATTTTAATAAATCTG